AAATATGTCAGCAAGAGACAGAAAGGACCTAAACTCATAGGACCTGCTATTGCAGAAAGCCTTACAAGATATCCACATCCACACACTTAAAAGGGCTAAGAAAAACAGAACAAAATGCTCATTCTCCTCAAGAAGGACAAAACTTACAGACAACTAAAAACACTATTTTAAAATTACTTTGTAACTCTAGTTCTTCAATCCCTAAACTATGTGACTATTAATCTATATGTAAATATATAACTTAGACACAGATAGTGCAAAGTACAGAACCTAATCAGGATTTTCAAGAAACCTCCTTTCACCCTAAATATTCAATGAATCTGACAACTGTCTCCCCAGCAGCAGGATTGCAAAGAGCCCCAGCACTGAGGCCCCAATTACACTGTTGATACCAGAAGATGGGGCACTTCATTGCTGCTTTAGGTAGCACCGAACTCACTTGATACACTGAGGTCTCCTTCTCTACAGTCCTTCATCAATACCTACCCCTGTGCTCCCACCCCTGCAACTTCAGAGATTACTTAATAGTCAATCCCTCCCCCCCGACCTTTGGGGCTCCTGAAGCTTATACACCACTTCCACCTTTTCTTCTTCCACAAGCCAGGGACTCTGTACCTTCCTCACTTATTCTTGTCTTTCCAAAGAGCTTTTCCAGAGGTTTTCATTTTTGCACACTGATGATTACCTGATAATACACCCCTTAGCTTCAGCTATGGTCAATATGAAGTCATGAAGGTGACGCAGCCTTCCTGTGTATTCAAACCCAGGGGGTTTACGTCAGTTGTTTATCAGTGCTTGAGGCTGCACATCTCAAAATTCAGTTTCAGGCATTTTCTACCTCCAGAAGGCCGCTGTACCTTTGGAGTTGAAAATTGTCTTCAGGTTGTACTTACCAAAATACTGTCCCCACCTGTCTTGGTCCTTGATGGGTCTCTGGCTCACCATGGCCATCAACACTTCTGGCTACTAAAGCCAATGCTAAAGATGTTTGCTGTCTTGCAGGGTGTACACAAGGGTCTAATACTTCATCCACTGGCCTCTGACTGTGCACACCCAGTCTCCAGTGTGGACTGTCACAATCCACATTCACCTTGATACTGTGGAGCTTGCTTCTGTCATGTACATTATCCTGCGGACCCTGCAAACACTCTTGGGCCCCTGCTCAGGGAGGGAAGAGATGCTATAGCCAGAAGGGTGATGATGAGGAAAACTCTCCTAATCTCCTGTTATATCTGGAGCTGCTTAGTATTGTGCCAGTTACCAACAAGAGTTGCAACAGTACAGGCCTTTGCTACCCTGTGCAAGGAGTATTCACAAGTAGTCCTGGCAAAGAATGACTAATCATGTCCTTCCTGAGTGCCCTACTGTTAAACAGCCAGGTTTTGCTCTGCTGTGCTGCCCCAGGACCCTCCTGAGTTGTTCTTGTTCTAGCCAGGGTCAGCACATTGAGAGATTTTTTAGCACAGACAGTTTTTAAGATGTTCTGAGCTGCTGGTAGAGTCACATGTGGATGTGACGTATTGTTATAGGCCATCTCCTAGCCACATTGAATGCAGACCTAATTTCTTTCACTGAGATAGCTATGGCTCAGCTCATTTAGCAGTACTGTTATAAATAATAATTATTAACATTTTTATTATTATTCCTCCTTCTTCTGCCCCTGTGCCATGTTATGCACATACCCACATTTCTACCGAGTGCCCCTCTGCTTAACAAAATGCCCACCATTTCCCCCTGTGGGAAAGGGCTCTATATAATTCTCCTGTTCTCCTCCTTCCTCTTTTTACTCAAAGCATTTGCTTTCATGACTTTCATTCAAAATGTCAACATTTTAAACTACCTTGCCATAACAAGCAGAACAAAAAAGTGTAGTGATATGCTGCATGTAGCTAATGGATACTGTCAGCCAGTCATTGACTTCCAGAAATCATACATTTTTAATTGGCAGGATGAGCTGGATGTGCTAACTAAGGTGCAAAGCTCACCCTGCAACCAACTTCCAATTTATTATTTATTTTTTATTTTCAGCAAAATCAAAAGACTATTGTCTTCTGTCCGCTGGCCCACAATTACTTTTTCATCAGACATCCATTTAGCCATTGTTATAGTTGCTTGGATCAAAATACACAGCTGCATGCTGAAACCTATCACATTGGACGGCAGACTTTCTCTTTATCAATTATGATCCTTGAATCTCCTTGTCATTTTAGAGCTAACACATTGAATAAAGTGTATGCAAAGCATAACCAAACCACAGGCATAAAAACTCCATTTGACAGACATCAGACTCTTCCTTTTGGAGGGAAATAGCTGGCAACAGTTTTGGGGAGAACTATTTAACAGATTTTCTTTCCAAACACTCATTTCTCTCTCCTTCCTACTCAGTTTTCTCTCTTAGTCACAGGGTAATGGTGTTCTGCAACCAGCTAGTACAAAATCTCCATGAAAATACCTCACTACACCAAGTAACCCAAATCCACATACTTTCTGGCTGTTCCTGTTTGCAATCTATTAGGATTACAGATCTGGATTTGGTTTTGAAGCACTACATTGAAACTAACATTATTAAGATAGATTACTGTTCTCATTTACGATGAGCAGTCCAGAACAGTGCCTTAGTGAATCTCAGGATAACATTTATAATTTCCTTTATTACAGCTCTTAACTTATCATTTAAGAGAGTGGAGTTGAACAAAATCGTCAAGGTCTTCAACTTTGTGAGTTCCAAAAATTCACAGAGCTACGTTTTTGAAACAGCTTAGAAAAAGCCATAGGAAATGGCCCTCCTAAAGGGAGGGGAAACTAACAAAAAAAGCCTATAAGATAGTAAAAAAAAGGAATTTTTTTTCCTTTCATCCCAGATGCAGAAAACAAATTGCAGTCCTGTGACCCTTCCTGTAGAACCTGTGAGAAATCTGCTGACGTATGTACTTCGTGTCCAGAAGGTAAGAGACTTCAGCTTCTTTGGGTAAATTTTGCAAGAGGCTAAAATATTCTGTATCCTACACACTTCCAGGGAATATTTTCATCAATGGTCACTAGAAAGTTCTTTGACAGCTTAAAGCATAGGCAGGTAATCAGATAATTGCCAGCTGAAGTCAGGCATCAGCTAGGAATTAAGCACATGCCTTGGCAATACAGGTAAAAAAATTGTTAGGTGGATGTTATTCCTTTTCTTTCTTTTCAATGAAAAGCTGTAGACATGACACAGGAATTACTGAATAGGGATTTATTCAGGAAGATGTACTAGATAATCCTGGTGATTCCTTCTAACCTTACATTTCAGTGAAGGTCGAGCAAACTACTTTGGGAAATGGCTTAAAGAATGTTTTATTCATGTTTTTAAGCATCAAAAAGTTAAATTTTGAGAAAGTTGAAAGCTTTTTTTATAGCCATCCAAGGCAGGAATCCTTTAAATACATTTCTAATTGGTGCCTTTCCCCACCGGGGTTGCTCTTTTGCCAGGAAAATTTCTTTTCCATGATACCTGTGTTTCTCTGTGCCCACAAAAAACTTTTGGCAATGTTGCAAGTGGAAAGTGCGAGATGTGCATGGATGGCTGTGAGATGTGCTCCGACCACTGGCACTGTCAGAAGTGTCAGGC